AGTCCTGATGAAAGAAAACTGTATAAAGGTTTGAACTACCTAAATGTTAATCTTAGAGGATACTGAAGAACTATGGAGCTATGTTCATCAGCTTTGAGTAAAGCACCAGTACCACTGGAAGCAAAACACCAACAGCATGGCATTACCACAACAGAAAGACTCATCTTGACTTGATCAAACATTTTGTCCCATCATTGCATACACATAAGTTATTATTTATATTGTCTGACAATATAACTTCTCTCCAGAAAACTGTTTGAACCGATAGTCATAAAATCTGCATTTTTTTTTTTTTTTTTTTTAGAAAAACTACAAATTTTCTTAAAAAGCAAGTAGATTTTCTGAATGCATATAAATCTACTGCTCTCTTTTCTGGGCCGTCACTGAGCTTCTTGAACCTTACCATTGAATTAACCCCTTAACTGTCACAATGACACTGGTGTCCTCCTATTGACTTGTGTTTTGAGAGTGGCAGTTATGGGGTTTTAAACATTGGTCAATCTAATGAGTGCCGTACTGAGGCTTTACCACATTAAAATACATTCTAGAACCATTATGACCACTCTAAAAGGTTTCAGGCTAAATAATGTATGTACATATTGGTGTATGTATCATTTTGACTCAGCTTGGACAAGTAACTTGTTTTCATAGCAGCTGTTGTAGGAACATTCCAACATGAAAGAATGGTCACAATAAACCTTTAAAAGCCCAGAGTAAATATAACAATCATGCTGATGTTGGCATTCTGTACAGTGTGATGATGATAGTAGGGGCATATAACTCACAAGATGTCCACCAGGAAGCATGGATTCAGTCATGTAACAGCCTTATTCGCTTGTAACAGGCTGGGCTGCAGTGTGAAAAACTGTTTTTAGTACATTTACAAGGTTGTTGGCCAGGGTTATTGCAAATAGTGAGTATGGCAACCTGTAACACACATTTAGAGGGTGAAATAAGGCAGTGGAAGGGGACATTTGTTATTCAGTACATAAATGAAGAACAGGAAGGCTTTCACCACTCCTACAAATGCTTTTGACACACAGACTCTCTCCCGTTACTCTTCTCTGCTGCCCTTCACTGATTATAAATTGTGCTTTGCAGTGTAAAAACTTACATTCAGGTGCAAATGCTGACTTAATATACACATTATACAGGGATTTGTATTTCAATATACAGCTGAATGGCTTTATGTATCAGCCAGTATTGGTGTGCTGTAATATTTGGAGTATTTGAATAATTCTATGGAAGAACTTTGTAAAACAGTGTCAGGAAAGCAAACCCCCTGAAGCACTGTGGAAAAAGCAGGAAAGACTTTATTCTGATCAGTTATTGTAAGAGTTTGCTGATTGTGTGGGCATGTGTGGAAGCAACTGCAGCACTACAAAATGGCTGTACCACACCATGGGGCTGTCTTTGTAGCCGCACCACGCTCAGCCACCATCTTTGATTCTGGGTGAACAAAGACCGAGTGGGAAACTGTACCAAAAACTAAGAATTGTTTGCTAAATTATGAGTGAATACAAGGGAAAAAAACACGCCAAAGTTAAGCTTTTACCCCTCTAGACAACTTCGACTATTTTGTTGCTAAAAGGCGACGATTATAGCATAGAAACGGAAAACAAACACTTAAAGGGCTATACATTAGATATTATTAATTTACTAGATTTAAATATGGGAAGCTAGTGAGAAAAAAACGGTAATATTTTTTACTTAAGAAAGCCAATTATTAGGTTAACAGCTGTCTCTGTTCTTATGTTTAACCAAAATTAAGCTAGTGTCATAAAAACAAGATGAGGTTGGAAGTCCATTTCCAGTTAAAAACAATTGTCGTTACCACCCTGAACTAAATCTTTTTGATTCAGGTGTTGAACAGGTTTTGAAATGAAACGTTAACAAATATGAGCATTCCTATGCGGGGTTTTTAAACGTTTTGTTGTAGTCTAGTGCGGATATTTCCGAAAATCCGTCCTAGCATGTAGGTAACACCGCAGAAAAAAACTGCTTTGAGTCCGAGCTTCTTTGGTTACCGTTTAAACGCTGGTGTTTTTAAATAAAGCGGTTGCTGAGAAGTTGAGTTTGTAGGTTTAAATCCCCCCACAAAATAAACCGAATCTAGAAAAAGATAATCGCATTGAAGCAGGACAAAACGCCCGTTCGTCTCTGACGCATTTTCTTTCCCTGCTCCGAGAGGGGGAAGCCTTCATTTGCCCTCGATGCTTGGCTCACCCGCCAGCACGGGAAAAAACACAACACCGTCACTTTTGTGCCGAGCGGAGAGGTTTATTTTCGGGCGTTAGAACAGGTTTCACCCCCGGTTGGGTCGCTCTTCAGTCTCGGACGCCGCATTTTCAGCTTCAACCCTCGGCCTGTTCTTGCTGTCAGGTTAGCTAGCCGCAATGTCGTCGACGCCTGTTTTGAAACCGTCAGCTGGAATTCGCTGGAAAGGCTAAAGGACTAAACCGCGTTGAGCCATAAATATTTATCCCGATTAGCATAACATAAAGACGACTGAAAAGAGGCAAACCCTTTACTCCTGTCTCACTCCTCTTGAAACCCAATATCTCCATTTGGCAACTTTTAATTTGCTCCCCCCTCCTTCTCCTCCTCCTCCTTCTTCTCCCTCTCCCACTCATATATTTTTCTCACTGTCCCTGTTCTGTCTCGGATAGATTTTTCTCTCCGCTCAAACTCTCTTCCCTCCCTGAAGGAAGGGAGGAAGGAGCCTGTGTGTGTTTTTTCCTTGAAATTTTTATCACAAAATTATAATACACTCAAAGGGGAACTCACCGTCATGAAAAAGCAGTGTCTTGTCAACGGGGTTTCCTCGCCATCACCGCACGGGTCGCTGGGGTAATGCATACAGCGAAATCAGCGGAGCTCAACGACACCAAACGACCCCACATATTTCTACTGGAAATATACAAACACTGATATTTTATTTATAAAAAGTAACGTTACATCAAGTTGTATTTTATATATCACATATTTCATACGTCAGTGAATAAAAGACATATACTTTATCATGACCAACAGTAGAGGGCGGTCCTGCGTTTACCACACCTTGACGTTCCTCAGGTATGAACATGTGATCCAACTTCAGCAAAACCAGGCCAAATTTAAAGTTTTATTTCCATTTGATATCTTCCATTACTTAGGCTATTTAATGTTTGGTTTAAAAACACACACACACACACACACACACACAAACAAAGTGTTATTGTGCCCAACTATAAGATTATAAAATAGCTGAAGATGTAAAACCTTGCATATTCAATGCAGTTAGAAAATACTATATTTATCTCAAAGGAAAATTAAATATTATTATAACTTATATAATCCAAGTATCTTCAGAGTCGCAGTAGGGATCTCCAGTAGCAATCAGTGTTGCTACTGGAGTCTCAAGAAGCCTCTGACTGAAATACGTTGCTGTATGACAGCAACAGCTCTGCTCAACAGCACTGTTAATCCATCGTATCTGCTTTAGCTTTTCCTCTTTAAATTTATGTCTGACCATATAGTTAGAAAGCTGGGTAGATAACTGTTGAAGTCAGGGATATGATATGACCCTTACCCATTATGGAAGAGAAGGTTTGAACTTCCTCCTTTTGTATCTGCTCTTTGATCCTGCTCTGCATCCATGAAGAGCATCCATGATGTATTATTGAGCTTTTGAGATACTAATCAGCTGCTCCCAGATGTAAAAGTAATACTTTGTTCCCAAGGTTACGCATCACAACAGTTGTCAAAAAGCAAAATAGTGACAGCAAAAATTCTAGCTGCACAGCATCCAAACCAAAGAGAATGGTGATCATGTCAATGTAATCTTTCAAACAAAGAAGTTACTAATAAAAGTCTATGAAAAGAACAAATCAGAACTAATGTGAAATAGCTACTTTAACATCCTGGCAATATTACAACATTGTTAAAATGTAATATTCCTCTCTCTCATTTTCTCTCTCTTTCTCTCTGTATATTTATATAATTTTCTGTAACATACAACAGGTTTTATAACTTTAGAAACATTTTCAGTCAATATTTGTGGTGCATTGAACTCTGGTAAATTGTGACAAGAGGTCATTTGGATAAGGTAAATATTTAATTCTTGCCCTGAAATTACATAGTAAAGCTTAGGGTGTCAGTACATTGGCCTGAAAACACAAAGTTAGGTCACATGACACACAGGGGCGTTGTCAGCATCAGATATGGAGCTAAGTTTACAGTGTTTTTAATTAATCTCTTTATTCACTTGTTTTAACCATTTTCATCATTAATTCACAAAAATGTTCTCAGCAACAGTTTTTTTCTCTTTAGTCCAGATAAGATGCTGTCTCAGTTTCAAAGTTGCTTATCAGAAGGGGTATGACTGTTGTAACAGTGATATATGTACTTGATATGATCTGTATGTAGTGGCTCACGAAGCTCTGACTATTGTATTGTTTAAAAAATTAAAATAAAGTGTAGAAAAAAGTTAAAAGTTAGAAATCAATTAGATTTAATACAACTAAAAAATGTGTATTTATGGACATTGATACTCTTTTGGATAAATTATGACAGCCTTAGGGCGACCCATAAATTTGCCCTGGTCACTATGATCTGTGTTGCTTGCGTCACTTTTTCCTTCCGCTCAACTTTCATTAACATGCTTACAGTACTAAGTGAATAACCAGAATTTTTTAACATGTACCTTTTGTGACTTACTCTGTCAATGTCTGTCTGCTTGACAACTGTTAAGTCAGTGGTCTTTCTCATGATTATGTAGGCTTTAACATAACATTTCTGCATTACAAATCCTGAATGTTGGGTTCAGTCATAGTTATCAGAAGAAACACCTGAAATACATCGTTTTTTTGAGTAATGTAGTTGTAGAACATTTGAGTTTCACTTCTCAAACTGATTCAGTTTGAGAAGTGAATCAATCAGTGAATCAGTGTGGAATGATTTTTAAAAAAAAGATTTACAGGTTTTAGAAGCTCTTCTGTTAGTCCTCCATACCAGCAGGTGGCAGTGTGCCACTACAATACCCTTATAGTGGTTGTGACATCAAATCTGTCATCGTATCAACATGGATGCAACTCTAGAAACAAGTGAAGAAACTGGGTTTTATGACCGAAATGCAGCCGCCAAACTACATGAGCGAATCGAGAAACGTCAGCAGGTGTTGGCAGAAGACGTTGAACGAAGAAAAGAGGCGAGACAGAGCCAGTCGGTGGCTGAGGAGAAGAGTGAATATTTTGTGAGCTCTTTCAATGCGGAGCGAGCGGGTATCCAGGAGCTTCTTTCCGGCTGTTCTGGAGCTGACCGACCCACTGTGACCCAGAAACTGGAAGAGGCCACGGCCAAGATGACGCAGCTACAGAAATTTCTGAACGACAGCATGATATTTCTGAGCCAGTACCAAATAAGAGTAGCTCAGGGTGCTCTGCAAAAGCTCCAGGCATCTCTGAATGAGACCAGAGAGGAGGCCCTGCCCAAGAAAAAGTTCGCATTTAGATCGAGAACCAAAGCTGCGGAGAAGGTCTCTGATTCTCCTCCTCCTTCATCTGAGACTGTGAGTTCAGGTGTCACCAAGGTGGATGAAGCTACAATCTCAGCGCAGACTGGCTTCTCCAACATCAGCAACGAGTCTCTGACAATGACGTCAGAGGAGATCCAAAGCAGAGATGTGCTGCTGACTCACCTGACCAACTGCAAGGTTCGTCTGTATGGTTCTCCCAGCACCCTGCACCTGAAACACATCACAGCCTGTGAGGTTCTCTGTGGACCTGTAGCTACGTCTGTGTTCGTGGATCACTGCAGCAACAGTGTCCTAGGCTTGGCCTGCCAGCAGCTGAGGACCCACAACACTACCGACACCCAGGTTTACCTGCACGTAACCAGCCGGGCCATCATCGAGGACTGCCGGGGGGTGAGCTTTGCCCCGTTCTGCTGGTCTTACCCCACCCTGGACCAGGATTTTGCTGCGTCTGGCCTGGATCAGGACAGAAACAACTGGAGCCAGGTGGACGACTTCAACTGGCTGGCTGCTGGGACGCCGTCCCCAAACTGGACTGTTATTCCAGAAGCAGACAGAAAAACCGCCTGGGATCCTTAAAATTGAATGCCTTAAGATGTTCTCCAAGTTCACATGTTCAATTAAATTAAGTGGAAAAAAAGCCCACCTGATAATTGTCATTGATCCACTCAGTCTTGGATGATGCACTTAAGTGTAATTCATGTATACATTGATTATTTAAAATAAAGTTTCTTGCATTTTATTTGTACTTCTTATTACACTAAAACCCATGTGATCCTTTACCTACTTATTTAAAAAAAAGAGTCAAATTTTAGTCTGTTTCTTTACAGTCGACATTGGTCACTGCTATTAGTGGATGTAGATTTATGATATTTAAAAGTTTACATGTTTAAAAACAGAAAATCTTCCATTATTTTGTTCTTATGGTTTAAAGTTGTTTTAATGTCATACCAAATAAATTACTGGAATAACTTTCAGATTAGAATAATGCACTCACTTTGAGTTTAGAAATTTTTATAAGATGCAAGTTTCACTTTTTGAACTGAAATTCTAAAATAAATTAATGTGATAATCTAACTTATTAAATGCACTGATAATACTGGTTTGAACAGTGCTTCCTCAAAATCAAATGTGGGGAGCCGGTATCCTCTGAAAAAAATAAATTCAATAAATGGTGAAGCATATTTTTAAATGTTAAAACAGATTAAAACATCACTTAAAAGTGGATAAAAGCACTCGTGGGGCAGTTTATTTGCTGTTGAAAATGCGTTTTTGACATTGCGTCTCTCTAGTTAAAGCAAAAATGCTTGTAAATGCAACAAATAGTGTGAGTCATGAGTCTCCCACTTGTAATTTCAGGTCAGAAACACAAAAGTTTGGGTACCAATGGGTTAAAATTGTATCCTGTTCATTTCAGAATTTCCTCTTTACCAGCTAATATCTGTGATATAAGTACAGTCGCAGTAGCTGACAATGAAGAGAAAAAAGTCCCAGTAGGTGTGCAAATCTTTTCTCTCTGTGTGTAATATTTTGTGAGACAATTGGTCTATTCTGTCTAAATTTTGTGCTGATAAGCGTTGAGGCTTAAAAAGTGTTAGCGTGCAGTGTTTGTGTGGAGTGTCCAGGAACACTAACCTAATTACCTGAGCACCCAGTGATCTGATAATCCTATCAACAACACTGATCCGTTAAAAGTCGGAACCATGTTGTTTTTGAAAGCACTTTTGAAATTATTTTTAATATACCAGTATGTTAATATGTGAATTTCTACTACTTTGTTACTAATAGTACTCAGATGCAAAACAGGTTTGTATATTTGTAAACTCTAAAATATATAAAAATGAAACCATTACTTGAGCTTTTAACATGGTCCAAAATACCAAACATGTCTGCCTTATGATCAGACAGGTATTTTGCATTGTTACACGGTCAGATTTTTGTAGAATGTCTTTCTGATTTTAAGAAGTGACAGACTTAGTTTGGGTAAAAAGCTAATTTTAAAACTAAATTGACAAATTTGTTGCTGACTCTTGTTTTTCTGAGCATTTATCCACAAAAACACTTGTTCCCTCAAAGCTGCAAAGTCATAACATAAACCAAATGACTTACTGTATCCTTTTTAAATAAAAGAGAAATTCAACTAACAAGTACAGGGCCAAACTTTCTTTAACTAAATTAACAAATCAATTACAGAACAGTAGATTTAATAAATAATGACAAGAGCATGTGGGAATACAAACATTTCAAGTAAAATAGCTCATCTTTCATAAAATGACTAGACTGAACGGTGTTACTTTCACTCATCACTCTTTATTTCTCATTTCATCCCATTTATGCACTGGGGGTTTCAAAGCCTCACCTTACCACTTTCAAATATACTTTTTGTCACTGCCAAATAACTCAATCTTTTTTCCATCTGACCACAACAAAGTAAAAAAAACAAAAAAACAAACAACAACAACAAAAAAACATGAATAAAACTTATGCAACCAGGTCTTATTTTAAAGCATCAAGTAACTGTCATTTTCTTGCCCTTGTCGAGAGGATTTAAGCGTATGACAGGAGCTGTAGAACATAGTAAATATAGTAAATTACGGTTCATAAAATTCAGTTAAAAATACGGTAACAGCATAAGACTGACATGACACTGTCATAAACATGAAATCACACCTGTCATGAACATGAAGGAGTCTTTATGACTGTTGTCATGAGGTGTCATTCGGTAAATAATGACACGTTGCTTTAAAAGTTGCCTTGAAAGTCCATTAAAAGTGTCAACTTTGCATTAAAATGTCATTATTTACAAACTAATGCAAAGATAGGACTTTTAATGGACTTTCAAGGCAACTTTTAAAGCAACTTTGCATTAAAAGTGTCATTATTTACCGAATGACACTTCATGACAACAGTCATAAAGACTCCTTCATGTTCATGACAAATGTTATGTCATGTTTATGACAGTGTCATGTCAGTCTTATGCACACCCCGTCAAATAAAGTGTTACCAAAAATACTTTAATAATCACACATAGAAATTTAATAATATCAACTTATTATACATATTATTATTTCTACTTTAAGGGTTACAATGTCAGAGACCCACAATGCAAAATATAACAACATTTATTACGTGGATTGTTTATATCCTAAACCCAGAGGACAGTGGAAGTAGAAAACAGCAGCCCTTTTTCCACTCAAAGCTTGTGTTGTAGTACAATAAATGTAACATAATTTAATTGTAAAATGAGAACATTCATCATGACTTCCCTAAACCCAAATATAGTAGTTGTGCAACTTTTGTGTCAGTGTTGCACAGAGTGTCAGGAAATGGGTGAGGTCAGGATGTGTTGCATCTGACACTTAATGCACCAGACTCGAATAGGTTAACTTAAAATATGTCTAGCTTATTTTTGCAATTGTAAATAGGTGAGGTAAGGTGCACCTGAAGACTGACATTGTTTCACATTCTCTTTTGCAAAATACTTCAATCCCATTAGATAGAGGGTGTCTGTGAACATCAAGACTCTTTGATCTAAATCTCTCCATTGTGGCTCTGATGATGTGTTTAGGGTCCTTGTCGTGCTGGAAGGTAAATCTTTTAGATTAGTCTCACGTCTTTGCAGCCACCAACATGTTTCGTTCCGGGATTCTCTTTCATTCAGTTCCATCCAGCTGAATAAGGCTTAAGAATAGCAATCCCAGGGCATGATGCTGCCAACACCGTGGCATACATGTTGAGTTCAAGATGATGTGCAGTCTTAAGTTTAATATTTTAAATTCTCCTAGAGCGTTGTTGTTAAATTCTCCTAGGCTTTGAAATGCCAACTTTGAAGATGAGATGATTGGTGGGATGACTAATATATAGCCCTGATGCCCAAACTCACTAACTGAAAAATGCGTCTTGGAACAGGCTTTGACACTGAAACATCCAAGACTGCAGGACTGCATGACTGTTATTTTTTGTTTTTGTTTTCAGTGTGCTCTATGATATTGCCTGAAAATAGGTTGACTGATCAAGAAAAGACTTAGTTGCCACAAAATTGATTTGCGGTGACTCTTACTCTGAAGCCATTGATGGGTGTAAGTGAGCCTATTTGTTTTAACGAAAATATGGACCCCGTACCCATTCATAAACACGCTCAAGTTGCATCTCTTCTGTTGTGTTCGTGATCTTTGTGAGCTCCATCAAGGTTGACATAACCACGTTAACTCTCAAACCAATTATGGCCCCTGGCAGCAGCTTGTGTGTGGGGGAGATTTCTGCTCTGTTAATTGGATCAGGTTGCTTACAGAGGCTTAGCATGACGTACAGCAACTTTGAGTTTAATCATTAGCTTCCTCAGCAATCCTCCGCGTCTCTGGGAGAACGCCGCATCAGGATTAGCCTCACCTGTTTGTTTAGAAAAGAAAAACACCCGATTTTGGTGAGGTTGGGCTTTGTGAGATTATTTTTGTCTGGCACAATGGGAAAGGAGATGGTTTTGAAAAAATAAGACTGAGAGGTCTGACTGAATTACCTTACCTTTGTTTCTTTGCTGTGGGATGGATTCTACATTGAGCTGATTCTCATGTCTGTCAACTATCTTGAGGAAATCCTGATAACCAAGCATCAAGGAAGCAAGAACCCCAGGTCGGCTTATTAAGGAACATTTCTAAAACTTAAGTAGAGTGTGGGAAACCTTGAATCTCCTGCAACCGTTCACCATTTGACTCTCTTCTTCAGTAGCAAGGACACAAAGGAGTTTGCACAATGGCTTTGTTGGTAGTCAAGTTTGATTTGAAGAAGCGAGTGAAGCTTGCTCAGACGGTCTGGTTTATGTACTGGTTTGCTGTACTGGCTGGCATTCTCGTGCTCAGCTTGGGCCTATTCTTCAAGATTGAGCTGCGAAAACGCTCAGAACTTATGGACAACAATGAGAGCCACTTCCTGCCCAACGTGCTCATAGCTATGGGTCTTATAGCTTGTGGTATCAATGCCTTCGGAGGCAAAGTCTGCTATGACTCCTTGGACCCTACAAAGTTTGCAAAATGGAAGCCAATGTTAAAGACCTTTTTGGTGTTCTGCATGGGATTCAATGCCCTCCTTATTGCCACCGCCCTGCTATGCTTTGTAATGAGGATCCCTTTCCAGTTCACCCTGGCTGAGGGTCTGAAGAATGGCATGAAATTCTACAAGGACACGGACACGCCAGGACGCTGCTACATGAAGAGGACCCTGGACCTGATGCAGATGGAGTTTCGTTGCTGTGGGAATGATAACTACAGGGATTGGTTTGAGATTCAGTGGGTCAGCAATCGGTACCTGGACTTCAGCGCAAAGGAAGTCAAAGAGTGAGTGTAAAGAGTTAAATTCCTGAATTAGCTCCTTATTAGCCTTAATGTACAAGCTCAAATCCTGCAGAGTCAATAGTGTTTGGGATTGTTTATGTTGAGTTGGGTTTAAGGGGATTTACAGATGGGATAGGTCAGATCACGGGTATTTATCAGCTCCGAATACTAATAATACACATCTGGGCCGTGGTGGCAGCTGGGAAGGACCAGGCTTTAGTAAGATTATGTAGGGTTGTTTAAGTGAAAGTTTTCAAAAGTATAAATTTTAAGATGACACTTGCAAGATTTTAATAGGTGTTGTTACAATCCAGCGATATATGACTGGTTTGTCTCAATCACCCTTTATTAACAAATGAGAAAGGGAGAGTTTTGAAACCTGGGGCATAATTAGTGTTTAATCTACAGGATTACA